GGCCTTTTTCTTCTTCTTTTTTTTCGGTCTATCTTTTTTCGATACGACATATGCTATAGGTTACGGTGTGACCATGCGTTTGTGTCAGGGGCTTGCGCATTTGGCCCTTCGGCACTGTCACCCCGCGCGCAACAGAACACACGGAGACCCGAGCCAAATTGGGGCGAAGCGCCCCAAATTCAGCGCAGGTCACACCTTGAACACCTGTCAAGTTCCGAGGTTTGCAGTTGTTTCTGAAGTCACCATGAGATATCCTCACTCCCCGAATTCATGAGGACTCTAGTCACTTTTGGGAAGACTAGTTCTTCTAGTGACAAGTACAAAGTTTGAGCTTTTTCTTGGCCGGTCCGTTCTTGAGGGAGCCAGCCAAAACCAAAGACACCCGGCCAAAACCCAGGGAAACCAGCCAGATCCAAAGGAAACCGCCTGGTCATGCTGCAATGTGCTCAGGCGTCATCTTTTGCAAGAAGGCATTCTTTTGAAGCCATTGTAATACTGTGGATGGACGAAATCCTGCACCACCTAAGAAACTCTGGAATGATGATTCACCTGTAAATACCAACAAACAGTGGTTTCAACCATGGTTTCAAAGCAGTGTCCATCCACACCAGGTGGCCTTTTCCATAGATTACAAAACCCCTCCCCCCTTATACCCCCTCCCCATTTCATCTAAGAGGTCTTTGCAGGGCTGTGCGCTAATGGCTTACTAATAGCTTCCTAATAGCTTACTAATAGCTGCTAATAGTTTCCCGGCTTTCGCGTACAAATAGCTGCTATTAGGTAGCTATTAGCAGCCATATTTTCCTGCAGGATTGTGCCGGGTTGTCACGCTGCTTCAAACGCTTGAAGTCTTTACAGGCGGCAGGTTGTTGCAATGCCGCGATGGCTGGTACTGAAATCGTCGGATAGCCTCCAAGTTTTGGGTCATATCACAATATTGATCCCCGAAGATTTCAGCAATGTACAAGTCCACTGGGCACAGTCTGAGTGGTTCAATCAGCTGTTCAAACTGGGCGGCAAGAATGCCGAGTGCGAGAAAAGGTATCAAAGCGTCCGAGTCTGGCGGAGTCTGGCTGAAATGCATTGCTCGCGGGGTCTAGGTAGCTAGTCACTGCTATTAGCAACCTATCAGCAGCTATTTGAAACCGGGGGGGGGGGTCTGTAAGTCTATTCGGGCCCTAATAGCTGACTAATAGGCTGCTATTAGTACGCTATTAGTACCCTATTTGAAAGGGGGGGGGGTCCGTAAAACTCGAGTTTTTTCAGTGTTTTGGCTTCCCGAGGCTGTTTTCTGCGGATTTTCGGACAAACCCAGGAAAACTGGCGAGGGCTTGAGTCGTAGGGGGGCATTTGGCAAAGAGAATAGCAAAGAGACGAGCTTTAGGGGAGCAATTTTCCCGAGTCATTTAGCAAAGGAACGAGTTTCAGGCTAGCCTGTCTCGTATGTTGTCGCAATTAGCCTTTACTGATCGAAACGCTTCGCTTGCAAATGCAATGCGCGTGATTCAAGCCTCTCCCAAGGAGTGTTGCTAGCGTGCGGGGCTGGAAGTGCATTCCCCCAAGGACCTCTCCCAGGCACCCTAGGCAGATAAGCATTTTACACTTAAATGAAAAGGGGGGGGGGTACAAGGGGGGGGGGGCTTAGTAATCTATGGCTTTTGGAAAAATAGATGGGCTTCCCTGGTAAATGGGTCAGAAACCCCATCTAAACCAGTGGAACCCATCTATTTTTAACCAAGCGGCTGAAAAGGTCCACGCCATGAGCCCAGGAACTTGGCAGCACGACTGGCGGCTCAGGAGATGTCGCCGCGTCCGCGGTCCGCGTTTTTGGCCTTTTTTGGGGAGGCGGTACGGCAGAAGCCAATGGGTACATGTGGACCTGTGGTTGGTCAAAACCGTGGTTGAGATCCCATTTTGGGATAGGCGAATTCACCACCCATTTTAAAAAGAACCTTGTTTTTTTAATGGTTGGATTGAATCGGATGTTCACTGGGGGTACGTTTTGGATTTTGACCCATGGCCATGTGGACCTTGGCAATTCTAGCCCTTCTTTCTTTCACGTTTAAAGGGAAACCCAAAGGAACACCGAAATCCATTTCTTTGTTTGTCAGCTTTTTTTGCAAGGGGAAACCAAAGGGCAAACGGAAATCATTCAGTTTTGGGGGACCAAAGTCTAAATAAAGACAGACCCATTTGTGTACACGAAGACTGAGGGTACCTTGTTTTGGTTGGTTGAAAGGGAAGCCGGAAAAGCTATGTCTACCTAACTTGCCCAAAGCGAATCGACCAAGTCTGACCTTTGGTCTCAGCCTGATTTGGTTTTCATACGGGCCGAAGGACCTTTTGATTTATGTTTGGGCCCCTCAAGGTCAAGTGAGAAAGGGATTTTCTCTCAGGGTCTGCTTTATTGCGCTCCCCTCGAATCCATCGCTCCCCCGTCGGTCTTTCTAGTTTTGCTTCCCCAATGCAACATCCCAACCCAGGATCACTTCAATCGCTGGCTCCAGACCACTTCAGAGAGGATCCAGAGAGGATCCATTCCTGCCATCAGAGGAGACTGGATAATTTGCCAGTGGCAGAATTATCCTTATTGAGCCAATTCAGATAAGCTCATGAAACGGGACAACTGAGGGGCTCTCCTCACGAGCAGCGTCAAGTCCCTTTTTGAGCTCAGCAGACATCAACCATGCAACCGAATTCCGGAAAAAAAAAGAGCTCCGCCAACTGCCCCACGGAAGAATAATATTCCCACATCCTTTTTTTTTGGTTTGCTTCGCTTTGTAAGTCCAACCGGAGGACAAAGAAATGCCTGGAGTCTCCTTCTGACCCTTGAAAAATGGCTGGTTATTCCCCAAAAAGGGGTCCTGGACCCATTTTTATTTCGGGTCCTTAGGAAAAACTCCAGGTGCTTCACAACCACGGCCCGGATCAGCAAACCCGCGAAAGGAAAGCGCGTGGCCATGCGAAAGCATCGCGCGAGGTTCCATGCGAAAGTGGTCGATGGTGCCTACTATTTTTAGGGTTTGATGGCAATAACCAGATTTTAGGACATTTTGGGTTGCATTGGTTTGATGGTGCCCGGTTTTCGGCACTCAGATGGGTGTGTGTTTTTTCCAGGACATGCATCCCATTTTGGATTGTTTTTTTAAGACACACCTGGGAGGTATTTCTGGGCGCAGACCTTCGACTGCGGTGGCAAGTAGAATGCTTTGGCGTAGCGCCGGGTGTTGACAGGCAGCTAGCTGATATCCCGTGCTTCAGATGCAGAAAGTGCCTTAGGTGGACTGGGAGATAGTACCAATGCACAGAGTCCGACTTTGGAAGTTGTGGGTTATTCCGAATCAACTGGGCGTTAGTATGCGTCAGTTAATGCTACATCAGGGCCACAAAGCAGGATGTCAGATGATTGCTCATATTCATTTCGCGGCTCCATGTCGATGGGTGAGTATCTAAAGGGCCTGCGAGAAAAGCCAACTGGGCGCGCACATCTTCCCCTAGCGAGAGAAGACTGTACAGCCTCTCGAAGATGCTGAATGGGAACTCACCCTCCAACAAACGTGAAACCTGCACGTCCTCTGGAAAGGAACATGGTGCAGAAGCTGTGCAGGTTCAATGTTCTATGAGTTGTTTTGGGGAGCAGGATGTGTTTGCCAGCTTGGAAACCCGGGATATGTTTTTCTTTTTCTGGAGGGGTCCGTGAGCTGTTGGGAAAATGCCTTGGGCTCTTCAGGAAAGTCCAACTGGATATATATATATATATATATGTGTGTGTGCGTGTTTTTTGTTGAGGGTAGCCTGTCAGGTAGGTTTCAAGGCAAAGCAAAATGGAAGCCGGTCATTTGTTGGGGTTCCTATTTCAACACAGACCCATGTCAGAAGGTTTCGCTTGTCAGGAGGAGGCTTTGCACTGCTGCGTGCTGCGAGCACTTGGAGGCTGGATATTTTATGTGGCACTAGGTGCTCGCATGCGGCAACATGAGCCAACAAGCCAAGGGAAGTCAAGGCTTGTTACTATGGCTGAGTCTCTCCACAACCTGTTTGGCCCTTTTTGCGCTTGTTTGGCTTTCCGAAATGCTGTCCCTGTGAAGCAAACCGGTCTAAGTTTGCCCCAGATCTGTCTTTTGCAAAGTATGAAACCCCTGGGAATACGCCTGGACAATTACTTATTGGTGTTTTTTCCTGGATATTTGCAAGGTTGGACCATGTTGGACTGCCCAAGCGTGCGATACAAATCCCACAGAAACTGAAAAGGACATGAGAGGGATGGATAGTCGAATCGAACGACAGTTGAACAGTCAACGAAACGGCTAGTGGGGGAACGGGTATGGTGGACACTAAATGGACATTGGGAAACTCATTTGATGAGTTCCGTGGATTTTGTAGGACATTTAGCGATGCTGAGGAAAAAGATGCGATGCTAACCGATACTAGAGTATAAGGGTACAAAGGTTTTGTCTGGTTTTTTTTTTTATTTCAGCCCATCTCAATCTCACAGGAGCAGAAATTAGAAACTGGCACATCTGCACTGAAAAGGCAAGGTTTGTGGACAACACAGCCAGATGCAGGAAGTGGCAAGGAGGACTCTGGATGTTGTCCTCGAGTGGAGCAACGCCGCAAGTGGGCAACCAGTGGTTGGCCTCACACGGTCCCCTGGAGCTGTGAGCCGTTGCTTACCTTCTATTTGCCGCTGGATTTAAAGCGAATCGATTCACTATTGGACATATATTTGTACTTTTTTCCAGGGCTTAAGCAAATCGAGGCTACTGAATTTGCCAGCAGGTCAATTGTAGTTTACCCTCACTCAACTTCATCTAGGAGCATGCCTGCTTCAAAGCAACTTAGCCATGTTTCAACCATGCCTACCGGCAGTGAGGTGACTGGTAGGCATTTGGCAACCATGCCATCAGCAGCCAGTACCATCGTACTGTGTCATCATACAACGAAGTTGTGTTGGAGTATTCGTTGAATTTGATTGTTTGAGCACTCAGTGTTGTTTCTGCAGCATTTTGTGGCTGAAAGGATCAAGGCTTAGTCTTCAACGGATTTGCTCGATGGGTTCTCGCAAGGGGCGCCAGATGCAACTTCGCTTGACCATCTTCATCATTCTCAGCTGGCTGGCAGCCAGCCCGCGTGCCTTCCACGTGAACCATTGCCAGAATCGTCGGGCAGTTGAATCCGTTGCTCCAGTGACCACACCGCGATTCTGTCACAGGCCGTCCAACCCGAAATGGACATGGCCACTAAGCCTGATCCTTACCTTCAGCCTGTCTGCCTCTAATCTCCGAGCCCGCGGTCGCTTCACACGGCTGAAGGCGTTTGCCAAGGGCTTGGAAGGGTGTGATCATCACGGGGCAGGGCGATACGAGTTCGATCCCCTGCAGCTCGCCTGAACGGGGTGATTTTATGACACCTTCTAGGTTCCGCAGCAATTGGTGCCCTTTTACCGTTCCTTTTTTTGGGGTTTCGGGTTCCCCTACTAAAATCGACGAAAAAGAAAAAAGTTGCTACCAACTTATTCTAACCTCTCTACTGGAAGACCTAGCCTTCGATTCGAGAGCTTGTTTGGTAGTTCAAACATGTTGGAACGATGGATGCATGCGTCTATGCCTTCGCCCGCTTTGAACCTTCTCTTGCTGGTGCAATAAGTAGGGAATATGACATGGAATGAACCCAGGGATTCCCAAATAAAGGAAACCTTGCTGGGATAAGTAGGGAATGAGGGAATGAACCCAGGGATGCCCACAAAGGAAACCACCAGTGGGATGGTTTATAGGGGTTATCCCTTTCTCATTCCCTGCATCTCTCGGAGCCATCGCAAGGTCTGTTCGCTGCTTGCGAGCCGCAAACACCTGCTGAGGAATCTGTGTGAGCTCTTCCCCGAGCATCTCCCCTGGTATAGAGAGGCAGAGGTGAAGCACGGACGCATTGCAACTCATCCAGACTGAGGGGCTGATTGCTTGTCCTTTTCAAGGTTTGCGTCCTTTGTGGGTATGAGTTTTAGCTGGTTTGGTTTTCATCATTTAGGGGTTTTGTGTCCACCAACCACGTCTCAGGGGGGTTCCCCATTAAATTCATAGCCATTTGACTACCCTCCCATTCAATAACATGTAGCATGACCGGGTGCCCGGAAGATGTCTTTTGTCTAAAGGGGACTATCTGGTGGGTTTTATGGGAGGGTAGTAGAGTCAAGGCCATGCTGGCTTACGTGGGGTTGGTGGCTCCTGACTTCTTCCGCCTTCCCGGAACCGCGTTCAATGAAGACGGCTTGGACGCAGTTTCAGCACACAACACGCTCCTGGGTGCTGACGGCAAGGGACCCATGTGGTGGCTTCTCTTGTGCCTTGTCTGAAAGGATGGTTGGCAAAACAGGTGCCTGGCAGTAGCAGCAGGCGTAGTCCTAGGAGTAGGGAGGAGTAGGAGGAGGAGGGGGGATTAGGAGTAGTCCGGGCAATGCAAGACACATGCACAGAAGGTGAGTGTGTTCTTTTCAGGGTAGCTCCTGAAAAGGAAGCCAGATGGAGACGGGTCACACCCAGGTTGAGTGCTGATAGGGTTGTCCGCCGTTTTCGGACGGGGAGCCTGTCAAATCAGGGACCCTTTTTGGTCTCCCCCGGTTCAGAAGCGGGGGGCGCAAGGCAGCACTGCCCAAGACGGGCCATATATTTCTATGACATTGTTTAAACCCCCCTCCAACAAAAACCAAAAGAGTCGTCTCAGATTTTCCTCAGATACATTGAGGCAACGTGACACACATGTCCAAGCGTCACGTGGCTGGGCCATTGGATCGCAGTGAACTGCAGTCCCAAGGTCGGAGCATGGTTCGATGCTGGTGCGCAGTTGCAAACAATTGAGAGACTTGCAATATTTAGGGGCCCACAACTCTTGCTGGCTTTTAGTGATGCTTAAATGAGAGGGAAGTGCATGGCCATTTATCCCAATGACCGTACAGTTTGAGCAAGTTTCTTTGCGATGCGTCCGGTGTACTTGTCTCGAAATGTGGATTCCCTGTGGTTCCCCCCCCCCCCCCGCCCCGGCCAGCAAGAAGGTACCTGCACAAAGATTCAGGCACTCAGCTGTACTATAGCCTACATAATTAGAATGGGGTTGCGGGTATTATGAGCCAAATGACCTATGATCATGGGAGAATTATGCATCTAATGTTTTAGCCCCTTATACTACTTACATGCTGTGTTTTTTTTAAGAGAACCCTTCTGAGATTGGTGTAAAGCAAAGATACCAATAGGACACTTCCTTAAATGGTTGCTTTTTCTTTTGGTATCCCTTTAAGCCAAAGAAGGGTGGCCTCGAAGAAGCATCCCTTCAAGTTGTTTTCCTTTTGCCGTCCCTTCAAATCCAAAAACGGTAGCCTCAAAGCAAGACAACTAGGTCCCCAGTAGTGCCCCTTTTTTTGGGGGGGAGAGGGCTCCCCTACTAAAATAGACGAAACAGAAAAAGTTCGGTACCAACTTATTCCAACCTCTCAAATCTGAAAAACCTAGACCAAGCGTATCGAGGCTTTGCGGCTGCTTGGAGTTCTGGCGCATCTCTCAGCTGGGCTTCGACTTCGAGCTGCTGACTTTGGACTCCGCCGGCGACCTCGGACTGGACCTTTCGATCGACCTTCGGGAGGCCGGCGAACCCCGCGGCGGGCGGGTGGTCCGTTTAGATTTGAGGCTGGTGCCTTTGAATCCAGCCAAGAAGGTGCACCTTTTTCCTGTTGCCACTGGGTGTCAGGGGTATGACTTAACGTATGGGTTTGCTTAAAGACTGTTCTTTTGTTCGGTTTATGAAGGGGGAAGCCTTGAAGCTGACTTTGTGCGTGTTGCAAGAGTTTTGTATTTGGACTGTGTTTCCCCACATGCCACGTTCAATTGGATGGGATTTAAGGCTCAAGATTCCGAGGAAAGGCTCCTGGGCACGGAAACTTCGACTGTGAAATGTCTTTATGTTCCCCATTGTCCATGACCAAGCTTCTGCTTTGGTCAAGTTTGCGAGAATTCCCAGATTAATTCCAGGATGGTGTAAACGCGGTTGCGCCACGCATGAAATGAGGCATTGATTCCAACAAAGATGCTGGCACGTGTGATTTGCCCCAATGCTGCGAGTGAAGGTGCTGAGATGGAAGGCAAATGACAGGCCCTTTTTCTCCGCGGTTGCGGCCAACTCTTTCTTAGCAGAACTTCGAAGCTGGTCTTGTCGAGTGTGTCGTCAGGAGCTGTCCCTTCTCAAGACCCAGGAGCTTAAGCACGGGAGGCTGGCAATGATTGCCTTTGGCGGCGCCATCACTCAAGCCGTAGCATGCAATGCCCCGCATTTTCCGTTCATTCCATGCAGCAGCTGTCAGCTCTAAGCTGGAGTCGAGTCAGAGCGGTTCGATTTGGTCCAACCTTTGGCAGAACTGGTCACTGCCGATATTGTTCCATGGCAAGGACTTGAACTCCTACTTGGACGCAGCCGCGCGGAAGAAAGCGCCGACTGTCCAATTTCTAGGGATCCAGGTACTGTAGGAGATACCTTGCCCCCCTTTATACCTCAACGGGGTAGTTGGACCCTCTGGGAACAGTTGGCTGCGCTTAGATACGACATTTGACTCGTAAGTTGCCAAGGGCACACAGCTCGCCTGCTCGGGAGTGGATCCATGAGCGCGCTGACAATACTGTTTAGAGTGCCTTCGTGACGTTTTGAAATTCGGCTGCCGTGCACTGAAGGCAGCTGATCGCCATCTTCCCCTTTGGACAAAGTGGTTGGGCAGGTTTTTGAACGGGCTTGTCTAGTTCCCCCAGTAGTGCCCTTTTACCTTTTTTTTGGGGCGGGTTCCCCTACTAAAATAGACGACAGCAAAAAGGGTACCCTTATTCTAACCTCTCTACTGGAGGACCTAGTTGTGATAATCAGCTGCCTTCTCTAGCGTGGACACTCAGGCAGTCTCAGCTGATAGCAAGAGTGCTTCGTTCTGGGAAAAAATCGGCTGTCAGACTACTGGTCATTGGCTGGAGCGGATTCTGCCACCATTCAGTAGTTAAGCACAGCTTGGACTTGGTGCAATTGTTTGCTTAAGCTTAATTGGGCCTTATGCTTATGCGCTGAAATAGTTTCATCCGCGTCTGATTCATAAGACGGCCCTTGTCAAAACCCACAACGACAAGGAGATAAGAAACCAATGCAGGAGCAAGCTTCATCTACCTTTGATAGGTCGCCGAAAGGTCACAACAACTTGGACCAAGTTGCGTACCTCAAGTTTGACCTCAAGTTGACTTTGCCGGTACACCATTGCACAGAGGTGCTTTGGCATTTGTTCTGTCGTAAAAGCTTGCTGCTTTTGTCGGTCTTCTCTTTAGGTTCAGATCCACCAGAGTGTATAGAGAGCTAGCAAGGTATCAAACGAATAGCGTTGGCACGTTGTCATCGTGTCATCCTGGAAGAATCAGTGTTGTTTTGTGCTTTCGCAGAGGTGTAGCAGGCAAATGAGTTGTACGCTGGGCTGCTGGGGTTTAAAAGCATTTGATAAAAGGGCCAACTTTCTTGCTTACTTGGCTCTATCCCGGGCAAAACAGATAGTAGATGCTAGTTAAGGGCATACTTGATCATCTGATGTTTTGGCGAGGGTTCCCCTACTAAAATAGACTACAGAAAAAGTTGGTACTCTTATTCTAATCTCTCTACTGGCGGACCTAGTATTGACTCTTCAAATGCAGCAGTTGCTTCAACATGATGAGTGCAGCAATTGTACTCCTCGTATTTGGCGCCAAGCATCTAAGTTGTTGGTACAACCTAATTAGGTTGGAATCCACTTATGGCCACCCCAAGCAGAATAAAGCCTGTTATTTGCAGGTTATTGCCAAAGTGGCCAACTACTTTCCCACTTGGTCGAACATCCAACTACCACGTTCACATGCTCGTAACTCACTTTGCGTTTGCGACAGGGCGAGATCAGGATGTCAACGAGTCAGGTACCAACGTGCCTCGGCAGCATACCTCAAGAGTCTCGCCATCATTCAAAGGGGGCGTTTCACAAGAGTCCCGTCAAAGGTAATGTTGACCCCGGATGAATAATATCCTTGTTCTTATTAATAGGGGGGTGTTCCCCTCCAAAAGTGATGATTCCCCGCTAAACCCAGGGAAAAACATCCCCCCTATTAATAAACTGGGGTTGATTAATATGGGGTCAACAGCAAGGAGAAAACTGACGACATGCTCCATCACCCGTGGCAAGTGCAATCTCCATCTCTCGTTGAGCTGGTCGACCAGCATGCCCACCAAGGCTGTTTGTCGATTGTGGGTTTGGGGATTGTCGGAATGATATGGCTGTGTCTCAAGAAATGGTACCCAAAATGGCACCCTCAAACCTGAGTACCCCCAGCTGTTGAATTTTGAGCCACACCCATGTAGCAGTTCGTGCAGATGCTAGATTTGCTGTCAGACTTACAAACATGAAACAGGACGAGCCAGATGAACATCGAAGCTGTGGACGATGGCATGACCTCCGCAAGAGTTTAAGCATGAGGGTATATAAGGATGATTTGCATGGTCATCTTTGTCACGATGTTGATAGTTAAAGTTAAAGTGCCTAATTGCTTAGTAAGGTTGACCAGAGAGGCTCATAACCCTTAACGCCAGCTCGTGTGGTCTGACGCATGGGCAAGTGCGCATTATAACCAGCCGCCAGAACTGAAGCTTACCGGATGTGGCAGCATCAAGCAACACATGCTGCGCCGGAATTCGCCCAACGTGCCTCCCCGATACCCAGCCCCATAGTTCTGACAACACCAGCAAAGCACTGACAACTTTGAGAAGCCACATGGCTTTGTGTATGCCATGGTCAACACTCCTTGTGTCGTCATCGCTTCCTACCACGTTTGAGAGGCTCTAGATGGGAGCTTGCTTTATTTCAGATGAGTACACACCCTCCAGTTGATGAACCCTCAAATTATCATACGAAGGGGAGTCTTATGATCTTGGGAATGCAGGCACGAGTGCGTGCTTGTTTGCAGAATTGTAGTTCGAATTTGACCGGCTGTGATTGTATGTCTGGGGTTTGCACCATTATCATTCTAGAACGATTGTTGTTCAGCCATGGTCCCAGCAACCTCAGGCAATATGGTTGTCTCTCTCTACACAATCCTCTTTGTATTCGTGTGCTGTTTGTATCCTTGGCAAACCAGCAGAAGCAGCAGAAGTAAGTTCATTCATACGCCCCACCACCTGAATCTGCAAGCCTCGTTTTCAGGCGCTGCCCTCGCTTTGCTTCAGAGCACGGATTAGCTTCCTGTACCATGGGCGAGGCCCAATGGCACGGAAGCCGTCGGATTGAAGGCAGAGGCTCCTCTTTATCCCATGCAACAGAACAGCCCCGGCACGACCAAAACACCACCTTTGAGTTCTTCTTTGAGAACTCAGGCGTTGGCTCGTGTTTTTTTCGGGCAATTTTTGCACTTCCGGAGCCTTGCACCGGAAGTTGTTGCGTGAAGAGAAAGAAATTGAATTCTGAGGCGATTTGTCTTCCCGGCCAAGCTCACCCAGGACGGCGCCTTACCCCACTTGGCGGGCACTCTGACTTCCTGAGAGGCGTTAAGTAGGTCCCCCCCAGTAGTGCCCTGGCTCACCCGTTTTTGGTTGGGAGGGTTCCCCTACTAAAATAGACGACAGAAACAAGTTGGTACCCTTAGTTCAACTTTTTTACTGGAGGACCTAGTTAAGTCTCATGTGGGTGCTTGAAGCGCTCGTTGCTTTGGCTTCCACTCTTCCTGCAACTTGGACAAGTTTGGCTTGCTGCGCTAAGACAATCGCCATGTTGCGTAACATCAAAGCTGCGGCATTTGTAAGGTATAACTTGCGTTGATGCCAGGATAAGATACCTGGTTGATGCTACCCTTCCTGAGTTTGCAGGTAGTTTTGTGATGACAATATCGTTTGCCCATTGATGGGCGCGCACTGGTCGGACCCATGCTGCTTGTGAGGTCTTGGCAGAGTAGACCAAGACACGATTTCATGCGAGTCATAGAGGCTTGCTGTGTCCTGCTTTTTTTCTTGCTGCCTGACTACAATTATTCTTCGGCGCTTTCGTATTCGCGTTTGGGATTGCTGCCCAGACGTGAGGATTGCATTCTCTGGTGCATCTTGGGCAATATTCCAGCACCCGCCTGCAATGTTCCAGAGCCTCTCGAGTATGAAGAAGAGGGCTCTGTATCCCCCAGCCGTCACTGAATCGTAGTGCGGAACCCTGGGAAAAGGTCTTCCAAATGCTTGACTTCCCAAATTGATGTCAGTGATGTAGGCGTGGTTCTTGCTTTTAACGGCACACTTTTGGTGTTGTGAAGGGATACCAAAGGGAAACCATCTTTTTTGGGTCTCTTATTTTAAGGCACACCCATAATGCATGTTCGTTTGTGCTATTTTAAAAGTGTTGCTACCTTCGTTTGTTTAGCTGATCGCTGCTGTTATGTCTACGCCAAATATGTTTAGCAAAGAGCAATGAAGCCACGACCTGCTGCCATGATATGTGGGCACAAACTTGCGCAGGGCCTCTTGTTGAGTTACCACATTTTTTCAGAATTGGTGAGCCACAGTCGGTAGAGGTGTGCTCTTGCCGTTGAGTTCCGCCGGGAGGGTCTCTGCAGGGAGCCAACAGCTTCTGCCGCGGCCCGCACGTGGCGCTACCAATGTCGGGAGCCCCGATCTCGACGGATCGCCCCAAGGCAACAAAAGGGGGCCTCTTAACAGTTGTTTTTCTCAATCTGTTGTTTTTGGTTGTGTGTAGATAGTAGGGGTGCGTTTCCTAAAATAGAGGATGCCTTCAGATGGTGTTCAGCGGGAAGCCAACACGAACCAGCAAAGCGTGGGGGTCCACAAGTTTAGGACATACGACGGACAACACTCACAACATTGAAGCTTCCACGTGGTGAAAGACCAGGAATCTTGCAGCGGGCCTTATCATAGCATGCCGCTGGCCCTCGCAGACGTACCCGTCTAAGGAGGTATCTTCTCCTTGTTGCATCCTTCCAAACCATCCTCAAAGGAAACTCGGACCCTTAGAAAATGCATCCCGCGCTGAGCAAACTTTGGGATGTATCCCGCGCTGAGCAAACTCAAAGGTGATCATGACCCTTGTTGAGTCCAAGACACTGCCAACGTGGGCAGATGGGTTCAAAGCACGCATTGCATACATGCAATTTATTTGTTTTCAACTGGTTGTCTTTGTCCTTACACTGCACTGTTCTTCAAATACTCCACTGGTGGTTGCGGTACACGTGGGTTGCTGGATTTTAATATGACTGCGCATTCTCCGTCGAACATGCGTGTACACAAGTATTTTGAGCACTGCTTTGATGTACGCCGCTTATCGAAGAGGTGGCTTGGCTCCCGTCCAGTGTCAATTGTCTCTCCGCGCCCGACGCTCCTTGCGGGTTGGGATCCGTTGCGAGACCCGTTGGCTTGGGATCCGTTGGGATCCGTTGGGATCCATTGGTTTGCAACCGAACTCGAAGGGCTCCACGCCCGCTTTCTATGGCAAGCAGATGCCGCTGTCAATTTTCCTCTCGAACGGCCTGGAAAGCCTGGCGGAAGGAGAAAGTGGGTCCAAAACGGTCATGGCTTTTGTGCATCAAGAGTCCGGTTTCAAAACGGAGCATGCTGTTCAACGGAAAAAAAGTCCTTAGTTTCAGCCTGGTTGATTTCATGCTGCTTTCCTACGTTCTAAAGAAGCAGGGGGTCAATGAGACACAATCAAATTCCAGTAATTGCAGAGTAGCGGACTGGCGTGCCTAAGAAAGGTGCGGACCTCCGCCTTCATTCTTTACCCTGGGTTTTGGTCGACTTCTTCGAATGGAAGCAGCTTTCTGGGGTGGGTAGCACGTTGTGTGTGTGCTTGTGTGTTTGTTGGTGTTGGTGTTGGTGTCGGTGCCGGTGTTGGTGTTGTGTTTGTTTTTGAAGGTATCTTTTCCAGCGTGCAGGGAAAACAACGGGACAAGCGCAGCATTTGGGTTTACCTCTAGGGATCTCTAGGGGTTGATTCCAACCACTCTTTTCAAAAGCCGGCTGCTTCCCCTGGGTTTCAATTCCTGAAAAGATTCGCATCCCTGCAAAGAATTCAAATGGAAGGTACCCCTAAAATTTCTAGTGCTACCTTCCCCATGCTTTCCAGCTCCTTTGAAACCCAGAGAAATGGCCGGTTTTCCACAAGAACGATGGTTGGAAAGAATGGAAAAGGAATCAGCCCTTAACATTTTATGGTTTCCTTTGTGGAAACTGATTTGAAGACTCCCGTTTGAATCCCTCGTTGTTCGCACCTTGCCTGGCAATCACCAGGTGCTCGCCTGCTTCGACGAAGTAATCCTTCGCTCCATCCCCCTGGGCGCCGAGCCCAGGCTGTTTGGGGCAAGGGATCCCCAGCCAGACAGTTCTGCGACATATGGGGATCTGGTTGTCAACACCGTTGTGGTTGATCCCATTTGGGTTGGTTTGTAGGTGAATTCACCTCCCATTTTAGGCTTCCTATTTTAGTGGTTGGATTGAATCTGATGTTCACTGGGGGTACGGGATTTGGACACACGGCCATATTAATACATCAATCTAATGTGAACCTGTGCAGCGTTTTGTGTGCATTGGTTTCAGCATTTGAGTTCAGGAGTGCCTGGATGGAACACCGGTATCAACTATAAAAGACTTGAACAGACCTATGAGCCACACAAAAGCCTAGCCCGCCTGATTGCCAAGGCTTAATTGTGGCTGCTTGTCAAAGCTCGCACTTTTGCTGACGATCTTAAGCGGGAATCAACGACTCACACCAACCATCGGGGAACAAATCCCTCCCCGTGTGCTTCAAGCCTTTTGGGCTGAAAAAAAACACCGGGTGAGTCCGTCTGGCCTCAAACTGACAGCCTCCTGAACGGCCATTGGATTCTTTCACTTGCATAATAATGATGTGTTTGTTTGTTATTTTGATGGTGTTGAAGGGAATCTAGCACTTTTTTCCAGTGGGCTTAAGCAAATGGAAGGACTCCTCCGCGGGACTGCCGTGAGGGGCTCGTTCGAAAACGGGGGGGGGTACCCGGTAAGCAGTCCGGGAAAGAATTTGATGGAAGCCAAAGGGAGGTTGTTGGAAGAATCAATTAATTGGAATCAACCCTGAAAACAAGGGTTGAATTGCCTAACCTGGATTTCAGGTGGTACAAGTTCAGTACCAGCTCAAGAAACAGAGCGAAATCGCCGGGATTTTGGCCAACGTCAAAGTTACAAGGGAACCGCAGCTGCCTTAATGGGTTCCCTGGGCGGGTTCGTATGCTCCAACAAAGAAGGAAGGTTGTCCCGACGCATCAGAGAGCACCTCCCTTTCAGGTTCCTTGAAAGTGCCCTTGGATTGTCTTTGTGGGCTGCAAAAAGTCCACCCTGCTGCAGGGCAGATCCTCGTGGTTGCAACCAGTGCAAATACTGTGGATGGACAACATCCGCTTTGCACCAGCAGGTAGGTGGCTTATCAAACATGATAACAATTCACAAGATGCATCCAATACAACTGGTGCAGGTCTTTGTCCATGACAGTCACCTCTGGAAGGTGGTGCGTCAACCAGAACTCATAGATGTTCATCCATCCCAACTGGTGCGGATTGTTTTTTTCCCCCCGACACCACCCCCTGGTACTGCAGGTGGTTTGTCACATAGATATTGATCCATCCCAACTGGTGCAGTTTTCTTCATCCATGCCACCCACCCCTGGCAGGTGGTTTGTCAACCACTACTCATTCTAGGGGTTGATTCCTTTTCCATTATTTTCAACCATCGTTCTTTTCAAAAACCGGATCTGTTTCCCCTGCGTTTTTGCTGGTTTCCTGAAAAGAAAATGGATCCCTGGAAAGAATGGACATCTGGTTAAATTATAGCGACCTCACAAGACCTCACCCCAAATGGTGGTTTATGTGGGGAATGGCCCCTCAACCACCTTATTTCAGGCTGGTGAAATATTATAATTCACCCAGAATGGACATGGACGGCACCCCTGGACTCATAGGTTTTTGGACCGTCGGTCGCTCCTCAGGACTGGCAGCCGAGCAAGCAGCGGCCCCTGCCACACCAGGCGCGCCATGGCCGCGTCAAGCGCATGGATCGGAGAGTCATGTTTCTCGCCGCTCCGCGAGTTTACGGGCTTGATTTTTTGTTTGGGAAGCCGTTGCTTCTGGGCAGGTTCATCATGTTGAGACTTTTGCTTGGCCAGTCAACTCAGGAAGTAAGTTGCTTTTCCCCAAGCGCAAGGAGCTTTGGTCCTTTTGGACTTTTTTGCTACTTGTTGAGACTTTGTTTGGCAAGTCCACTCAGTCCTTTTTGGGAAGCTCGAGAAGTGGCAGATGAAAAACTGGAAACCAGCGGTAAAAATTGCGGAAATCTATTGACCCTTTGTATATGCCAGGATCAGGGTCAAAGCCGCTTTGGCCGTGGTCATGGTTCCCTTAAGATTTCTTTGCGTGCTTGTCGAATTTAATGTACGGTTTATGACAGTGCCTTACCCCAATAGTGCACCGTGCCAGGGGCATAGAAATTCAACAGCGGTGAGCGATTATAGAAGTGAGTTTACTAGTCTGTAGATCAGGTCCTAAATCATCACCCTCGTCCTAGCTTTGCGTTTCAGATACCTTCGCAGCATGAGACGCAACCAACGAGTATCGCAGGATTATCCATCTTCATATCGACAGAGCAGTCGATACGCCTTCGATCAGCCGATACGCCTTGAGTGAGCAGTGGGATGTCTTCTTTTGGAGCTTTGACCCCCAGACCAAGCCCGGAAGAAGAAATATGATAGTCAAGCCATATTTAGAACTGATTTACCTCGAATTTGCTCTTAATCTTTGGCTTGTCCTTCTAGGTCCCCCAGTGCCCTTTTCTCACCCTTTCTTGGGTACCCTTATTCTCAACCCTTATTGCCTTATTCTAACCTCTCTGTAAGACCTCCCTGGAGTCTCCTTCCGACCCTTTAAAAAATGGTTGGTCATTACCCAAAAAGGGGTCATGGACCCATTTTTATTTTAAGGATCATGGATGGAGACTCCAGGTAGCCTTTGCCCTTTCTCACCCTTTGGGTACCCTTATTCTAACCCTTTTTTTTTCCCCTCTACTGTAAGACCTAGCCTTAAAGGGTATGTTCCAGGGTTCTGGTGTTTCAAGCTTGGAGTCTCTGCACGCTTCGCCCGCTTCGCGCTTGCCACTTCAGCCACTTGACTGGACCGCGATCGATCTCCGCGTTGCACGCCATGGCCTTGCCCGCGCGGGGCCCAACGGGGCGAGGGCCTGGGCCTGGGCCGGAGGCTGGTTGGTAAGTGGGTAGGTTGGTTGGCTGGTTGGTTGGCTGGTTGGTTGGTTGGTTGCGCAGCCTAGGGGAATAAACGACCCCCGGGCTTGACATGCTGGCTGGTTCGGTTTTGTTTGTCAGTTGAGCTTTCGTTCGGCCACCGCTGACCTGGGAAAGGATGGGTGATGGGTCGTTTCTACCAACGGCAGCCCGTTGCACCCCATGTTTTTCCCAGGAATTTATTGTACCTGGAGTCTCCATGACCCTTTAAACATGGTTGGTCATTACCCAACATAAAGGGGTCATGGACCCATTTTTTTTGGAGTCATGGAGACTCCAGGTATATATATCGCCCTGTCGAGCTTGTTTCCGTGTTTCCATTATCCATTGGCCCATGTGCTGCAGCTTCGGGTCCCGGGTTTCGAAGTCCATGTCACTTTGCCGCTCAGAAGGCGCTTGAATGTGAGAAGAAGGGAGGTTTTCGAGTTGGGCAATGCAACTGGCAGTTGAATCTATGGCTACGAGGCAAAATGGATGACACAGGCGAGAATACAAATATTCCCTTTCAAAGTCTTAGCCGTTTTTGGGCTAAGATCCTTAATGCTTGTGCCCCAGGCACATGGCCTTCGGACCCCACTGTCTTTTGATTTAGACGTTTCGGTGGAAAGGGGTACTGAGAAAATGATACTTCATCTTCGCTGCCCAAAGGCAGCACCGATTTATCGGTTAAGTCGTGGAAGCTTCTCTTCAGGGAGTTCATTTTGCCATCTGCTTGTAAGAGATGGGTGCATTGGCGTACTTTTTCTGAGGTGTTTTAGGGGTAAGCAAAGCGGAAGCCACAAATTTTGAGGGTTGTACCATGTAGAAACTTGTTTAATGGATGTATATGTACCTGCGCTTGCTTGTGACATGTAGAACCGTTCATAGGTGTGCACCTGCTTCCAAGCCCAAAGCTGCTCGCGGCCAGCCTCAAAACACGACCCATTGACTCAGTTTCTCCGAATTGGCTGCCAGGCTGCGATGAAGTCGATGAAGGCCATCGACAGGGATTCTTGGGCCCGAACTGTTTCACTCCCAAAGATCTCAATTATTCCGGGTGTGACTTTTGTAAGAATTTGGCCTGCTTCGTTTGTTCTTTTGCTTTCCCTGTAGAACCACTAAAAAGAAGGGGTTACCAAATCCAAAAGAGAGACGAAGCACCACGGTTGTTTCAGAGGTTTTGGGTCAGTGGTCTTAAGCCAAGTAGACCTCGACTTGAGGAGTCACAAGTCATATTTCTGTTTGTTGGTCTGTGCGGCGTTTTCACGGTGAAATTGGGCCAACTTGACGCAACAAATCTAGGAAGTCACTAGGATCACTACATGCGCCGTTGGTATGGGAGAATGTGTCCCTTCAAGATGTCCTGCATAACAAATTAGGCAGTGTGGCTTTCAGTTGGACGCAAGCCAGCAATGGTCCGTCTCGCCTTCGGTAGAGCAAAGGCAATTTTTCGAATTGAGCGTATAATATTGCGCTCGGAGGACTCGCGGAAGCCCTTGCAACGTGTGAATGCAAGCTTGAACCGTAGAAATCTGGCAACCGCAGCCTGATTGCGTTGCTTGCCTCAGGACACTTGTTGCAATCGACACCTCCCAAACCATCAGAGTGCGGTTTGCGCTAGAATTGCACTCATTCGGACTCCTGGCAGCGGTGTTTGAACTGATTCAATCTGCAACGTCGGCGCAAGCACCAGCCATGGCCACTCACTGAAGGCACCATTTGCCTTCGAAAACTCCGGGAGCCCCCCGGGTTGGTTTCCTTTTGATTTCCTTTCGGGAGACCCTGGACTGTTCAAAGGTAATCCTTATTCCTTACCCCCAAGGGTTATGCAAGGGGGGTTCTTTGTAGCTTCCCGATAAGAATTCTCTGGAAAATCGGAGCCAAGTTTGACCAGAGAATCCAAAGATTTGGGCTTCCTTGTGGAAACCCTTCCTGTTGACTTGCCAAGGGGGCCCCTTCCTTCCTTCCTAAACCTTCCTTCCTTCCTTCCTTCCTTCCTTCCTTCCTTCCTTCCTTCCTTCCTTCCTTCCTTCCTTCCTTCCTTCCTTCCTTTCTTCTTGGTGGCTCCCAGCCCTCAGCTTTTTAGCCTTTTCGTGTTCAGTGCCAGTTTCCATCTACCCCGAAAGTGCGCCACCTTTCGCGGGGGATCTGAGGGCACGGGCCCCCGAGATCCGAAGGCGCCAGCCATGAAGGCGGCCATGAAGGCCGGCTTGGGTTGGGGGCGTTGGGTTGGTCAGTCGACTGAAGGGACCTTGGGCCTTGGCCCTTTTGACATTTGAAGTTTCCCTCAAACCTTTGACTTCCCCCTCATTTTTCCACCAAATAATGGCAAGTTGCCTTTGGCTCAGAGAGTTTCCCTCAAATGGGGCGGTTTCCTTTTGACTTTCCTTCAGTTTTCCACCAGCACAGAATAGCCAAAAGTGCCAAAAGTTGCCTTTGGTTCGCAGAGAGCCACTTGTTGCAATTCAGTTAGCAGGGTCAAGTCGCATTGTCTATGCTTTAGAAATAAGCATGTGTTTGATCTGTTGCAAGAATAGCAAAAACCGATAACCTTTCCCCGATTCTTTCAGTCCCTTTTGGTTTGGCAACAACCAAGGTGGCTAGCAAGCTGGAAAAGGGTACAACAAAGAACACAAAGGCTACACGCGACTCCACTTCTTTAGTTCCAAGCCCCCGGTCGGTTGCTTTGACGACCTCCATTCCATCTTTTCTTTCTCTACGGGCCCAACACATCGGCGCTCGAAGAGAGGCCCCCCCCCCCCGCACTGCCCGCCGACGACCAACCCCCTCCCCCTCCCCTCCGCCCCCCCCCCCTCCTGCCCCCCGCTCGCTCGCCGACCACTCGCAGGCGAAGAAGGTGACGAAGATCGCGCGAGGCCGCATGGCCAAGTCCATGGTCTTCAAGGGCAGAAAGGCCCGGAGCAGCTCCGAAGGAGCCTCGAGCCCCCGCTCTTTCCTTTGAGTGCCATGGACTTCATCAAGACTTTTTGGCTTTGGACCTCAGGGTTTTCCCTACTAAAACAGACTACAGGAAAAGAGTACCCTTATTCTAACCTCTCTACTGGAGGACCTAGTCTTTTTCGTGGCGCACCAAAAGCTGAGCCATCCGCTCAGGAACCGAGACCGGGTTCGTCAAAAAACACATCCGGATCCTGCCAGATGGAGTGGTTTCTCTGGGTGGCCCACAGATCTGGATTCCATTGGTTCGGATCTTATTGAACAGCCCAGATTCGGCGGGTGCCAGGGAAGCCAAGAAGCCGGGACAGGGAAACGTGAGGTGGTTCTTCCCGATCACCAGTTTGTTGGAGCCGACAAAATCATTTCGCGCATGGTTTGGCATTGGCATGTATCGCTTCAGCCCATTTGAGCCACAATCAAAACCCGGGCAGATGAAAGTTGGTAAGGGGCAGTCCCAACCAGAAATAGTCGCGGCCGCCTTCTGAATTCTTTACATGGTTCTGGGTAGACAATTTTAATACCGGGTTTTGATTATGACTCATTTGTTGTACCCGTTCTCCGCGTCAGTGTTTGCATGTGAGAAGCACCTGGCTGAAATTGATGGTAGAGCTGTTTGGTCACAGAAAAGGCGACGGAAAGCTGGCATGTGTATGGTTCATGGTACCAGTTGCAACCAGTGGATGTCGCCCCTTTTTCATTTTTGTTTGGGAAGGGTTCCGATTCCTTTAAACTTAACCCGCAAAAATAGGGTGCCCTTTTTTCCCATGGCCACTGGGCATCTGAGTTGTACTCGTGCTACATGTTTGACATGTGTTATTATGTTTGACTGCCCAATCGGAAGCCTTTTCATCCACCATATTGTCTTGCAGAGCACAACAAGCTCGAGGTGGTCCTCATGTCCAATGGTTGGAGTTGCTTTGCCAAATGAATAAAGATGGGCTTTGCATGGATTGCGCTATGCCTGGGAGCTTCCTGCCCCCTACAAACTTCCCTTGCGAGCACGGAAGACGCTTGGCTTTGGCAGCCCCTGGTCCCGAGCGCACACAATGCGCAGTGCATGTGGCCCCTGTGTTTCCTTTTGGAAAGCATTCCTTTAAGAAACTAGACATCACAACTGTTTAGGTACAGCGCATTTACAAGCAAGGTTGCCTTTGGAAGTGCAAATCAAGCAGGATTGTCTTTGGGACTTGCACGCAAGTATCCAGATCAGAAATGCATTGCTTTATGCTAAGTCAGCACATTTGATGCTTGAACACTCACCCCATGCATGTAGAGCCTGCACGCGTTGTGCCCACTATGCCCACTACAAAACCCTTTGAATCTCACCCTCGCCAGAGGTGGCAGGCATGTGTGCCTTGGACACTTGACAGGTTCCTGGGATGAACCAAAACCTCTGGATTACCAGTGGCATTGCCTCCATATGCTACATCATATGGGTCCTATGCCTAAGTTAGGCAATAGGTTGCCCCATTTCCCGGCTTTACATCTGGATTGCTTCCACGACCATAGGACCATAGGGTCGCCTGTGAGGCCAAGACTTCGGGCGGCCTCACCAAG